GGACATTTTTGGGACAACTTTAGGACAATTTTGGAACATTCTCAATATTTCTAAAATTTTTTATCCATTAATTTTTTGTTCATTAATTTCAGAATGCATCTTCAACCGTGCAAAAAACTTAAAATTATTTGAAAAACGTTTGAAATTGTTCTTAAAACATTAAAAAAATGTCGTAAAAATATTTTGAGAATGTTCCAAAAATGTCCTAAAATTGTCCCAAAAATGTCCTAAAATTTTTTATCCATTAATTTTTTGTTCATTAATTTTAGAATGCATCTTCAACCGTGCAAAAAACGACATCTTAAAATCATTTGAAAAACGTTCAAAATCGTCTTAAAAATATTTAAAAAAAGTTCTAAAAATATTTTTTAAATGTCCAAATAATGTTCCGAAAATCTCCCAAAAATGTCCTAAAAATGTCCTAAAATGTCCCTAAATGTCCCTAAAATGGTCGATGTTTTTTTTATCTATAAATTTCTAGACAAATTTACAGCTGTGCAAAAATAAAATATTTCTCCTTAAATCATTTAATAAAAGTATAAAATTGTTGTAAAAGTGTCATAAATTTGGGAAAGTATTCTAAAAATCTTTTAAAAAAATACATAAAATTGACGAAAAATTACTTAAATGCACAATTTTAAAATTTCTGTTTATTTTTAAAATGTCCCAAATTGTGTCACGTTTGGGTGTCCCAAGCTTGGGACAATTTTGGGACAATTTTTTTTTACACAGGATATATAGATATACATTTTGCATGGGTTGAACGTTTTAAATCTTTTTTTTTTAATAACAGAAAATTATTAATGATTGACTATTACTAAGGGTGATCTCTCAGGTTTTTATTTAAAATAGGGTGATTTGTATACAGAACCCGGCCAGGTACCCGGACTCATTTTTACCAGGGCTATGAATTAATTGTATTATTATTATTATTATTGATTCTTTCTTTTATAAATAAAAAAAATTCTGTCCATCAGTGTATATAATAAAAAATAATTTAATTTACATAGATCTGTAAAAAATAGATGATACTGAAATTAGCTGACAGCTGTCAATTTTTTCAATTTTTATAATAAATTAATTCCAAAAAAAAATGTTTTAAAAAATTTCCACTCATAGCGTTTTTTAATTTTCACATGTGAAATTTTTTAATTAAATTTTTTTATAAAAATTTAATTGTTATAAAATTCTAAAAAAATTTCTAATATCAGCTAACTTCAGTATCTTAAAAAATAGATAAAAATATTTATTTGAAAATTACCTGTTGGTAGCAAACCATTTTCTGATAGTATTAAAGTGTAATTTGCGCTATCTCTTATATTATCAAGACTACATCCTTTTTGAACAATATGCGATATCGGTCTTGGTATTGTTGTATCTTTTCGTTCATTATTATCACATGAATAGTTATATTCATACTAAAAGAAAAATAAATAAATAAATAAGTATTTAGATGATTAATCAATTATTTAATCAAAATGAATTAATACTTACATTGCAATTTGTTGAAATTGCTTTAATGCGTAAAATTGATAATAATATGCATGCAACATTAAGCCACATCATTTTTATCAATTAAAAAATTTTAATCTTGAATTTGACATTATTAGAAAATTTATTTAAATAAATAAACAAATAAATAAATCAAGTCACTGTATTATATATACATGGCAAAGTATTGATTGATTGAATTCAATATATTAAAATGAATACATTATTAAATATTTAAATATGTATAAATATATTCAAAACAAAACTGTGATTAAACTTGTTTATATACATTGTAATAACAAAAACACGACTTAAAATTTACAAGTTTTATCTTTCAACATTTTTATAACCTATCAAGATCATTAGATTTTTTTACTATCACATTTAACTGAAATTTTATCAATATATCATTTTGCAAATGATTCATTTTATGTTTATAATAACAACAATGGTAATTGAAAATTAACTATCAATTAACTATATATTAGTTCAAATTAATGTATACTAATGAAAACCGAGAACATAAAAAATTAAAATAGTAATTTAATTTCATAACAGATGGCAGAACATTCGAACTCTGATTTTTAAAGTGCGCGAAGGTTAAGATACTTCAAATAACTGCAACATGCGAAAATTTAGAAAAATGCTAGTATTAAAAAAAAGAAGCAAATTTTTATCAAATCTTATTGAAAATAAATTTTTGTGATGATAATTATATTTTTTTAATACTATTTTTGGTGATAAATTCATTAAAAATGTTTTTCATCTTTATACTGAAGAACCGTATCAACAATTTCATTAATTTGCACAACTATGAAGTTACTTATACCGAGAACTTTGAATCAGACTGTAAAAGTGATTTACTTTGTCGGGTAGTTTTTATGATTTTTAGTGCGTTAATAATCGGTACCATTCCTTACAAATTGTTAGGAAGACAGAATGCAACTCAAACGATAACATTACCAGATATTTCATTTCAGAAATCAATTAAATTTTTTTAAGTAATTTTTTCTGATTACACTATTATAATTTACACGGAAAAAAGTAAACTCGAAAAATTACAGTATAAAATGTAAAATCGGTCCCGTCGTAATCAAAACTAGAAAAATTACAGTTTAAAATAACATTTTTCTAATTTAATATTCAGAGCTTTCAATGTAAATATTACATTTTAAAATGTAATTCTTATAAAATATGTAATAATTACAATCTGAAAGTGTAATTTTTCCAGTTTTTATCATGAAGCGCCACGTTGCATTATATACTGTAATTTTTCGAGTTTTCTTTTTTCCGTGTAGTATTTTTAAAATTGTTGATACAGATGGCTTACATTTGTATAGGCGCTGTTTGAATTCCAGTAATTGCAATTGGAATTTTGTGAAATAAAAAAATACGTCTTCAATAATGTTTATAACTATTCCTTAAAGTTTTCTTCAAATAAATCTATTAATATTAAACTAAAACAATAAAAAAAAAAAATTATAATTCACAATTGAAATTCATTTCTTTTTGATGACAGAAATTTTTATTAATTGAGTTAATATTAAAAAAAAATATTCATTAAGTAACAAGATCATACAAAAATTTAAATTTAGATAATTGAATAAAATGGAAGATAATTGAGAACAATTTTTTATCAAAACAAAATTTTTTTATTGCTAAACAATTTATTAATAGAAACATGCAAACAATCTTATAGATTTTCTACAACAAATTTTTTCTCATTAATTTGAACTTGTACTTTATAATATGTATAATTTACATTCATTTTTCGAAAAATTTTTCCTATAATCTTCAAAAATTATTGAGAGGAATTATCTTTATTATTTACACAGTAGTTCATTTTTAATTTGATGACAAATCTTGGAATTTCTTTTTATAGCGGCATAATTACTTTACGCCACCCTAGCGCAATCACTGCCAAAAGTGTGCATTTTCTGGCGACAATTTGAGTGCTGAAAAAGTAAAAAACGATTTAGTAATCTAATCAAATCAAATTATTCAATATCGTTAAAAAATAAATAGAGTACCATGATCAATAAACGTGATTTGACGATTCTGTTTTCTTCGCAGCATTTCTTCTCTTCGAGTAATTGCGCTCTTCTGTTCACGATACGCTTCGGTGACCTAATAATAATTAAATAATCATAATTAACATAACATGGGTATAATTTTTTGTCAATATAAAATTGTAATATTTTACCCCAGTCTCAGACTTGATGTTAAAAATTCGATGCTCTTTTACAGTCATTGACTGAATTCCTCTTGAAAGTAACTCATCGGTAGTGTACGGACGATGTTTACCAGCCTCCATTTTAATGTACATCAACGGGCAACAGTAATTAAGTATTGTATAAGCCCATTGAGTAACAACAGATTGGCTACAATAAGGTTCAGTCCCTTCAATTCTGCGATGATACTTGATGTTGTTTTTTTATGAAAAATAGGTAATTGATTACATAATTTTTTTTCAAATAATTGAAGAGGAAAAATGATTCTAAGGTTCTACTTTTCTTTATAGTGACTTTCATAAACTTTGTATAAGAAAGAAAAGTCTTTGAATTGATGTATTTTATTATTTTATCTGATGTGTTACTCACAAGACATTCAATGTCCGCTGTGTAAAGAAATTGATCTCGGTCCAGTTTAGCTCTTGCTAATGCAGCACGGTTGTCCGTATCTTCAATTGATTTTAAATCAATCATAAACGTTCCAAACAAGTATTCCAAAGAGTACAAATCAAACGTATCTTCTGAAACTCCTATTGCGTGGAAAAAAAAAAAAAAAAAAAAAAACCAAAACAATTAATATTTTCTAGTTTTAATCATCTAGCGACATAAAAAACCAAAAATAGCCAACTTTTTGAACCTTTAATTGTTTTATTAAACTTTAAATATTAAACATTCAATATAGATGATAATTTTTTTAATATTTTGTAAATTTCATTTTCATATCACTGAGCGAAAAAATTTCTTTTGAAAAAAATGGGTATTTATGTGACAAGAAATTAATTTGTTGTCAAGTAATTTTCTTGTTGAAAAAAAGTTTTCTAGATTTGAATAAAAAAAAAAAAAAAAAAAAAAAACAATTTTAGATAGACAATTTGAGAATTTTCATCCAAAATGATTTTTTCCCAAATCTAAAAAACTTATTTTCAACAAAAAAGTAAGAAAAATTTATATTTCTTCAGCTAAAAAACATAATTGTTGAAAATTTCCAACAAATTAATTTCTTGTCACAAAAAAATGTCCATATTTATCAAAAGAAATTTTTTCGCTCGATGTAAATTCTTCTATGTGAGCTATTTTCAGTTTTATAAGTCATGAAGAATAAGAGTAATGAGCATTTACCAGCAGCTGACGTGATTCGTTTTAAGAAAGAAGTGACAACAGTTTTGAATTTGCCCAGCGTGAACAAAGGCGGGAGTTTCTCATACCATTTCTTCTTGCACGATATAAAAGTGACTAATTCATCGTACAAGTCCTTGTAATCAGTAACATTACCTTCATGATATATGTCGATTTTGTGAGTCTTGCCTCCATGCTCAAGAGCTTCCAAAGTATACCCTGTTTCGACGATAACTTTTATTATCTTGTGATAAATTCGCTCGATTCCTTGATCCAAAGTCAGCTCGATAAGTGCAAATTCAGCGGGGATGTAATCTACTTCATTAGTATTGACATTTGTTTTAGTGTAATACCAATTCACGTGAATGAAGTAAAATGTATTAAAACCGAGACCTGGAAGTTTGAAATATAATCATCGAGGAATTCTTTTTAAATATATTTTCTACTTCATCATCTTCAAATTAATAAATTTTACTCAATTATAAAATTTATCAGGTATTACTGAGAAATAAAAAATGTTTGTTTTTCTTTTTTAACAAACAGAATGCGAACAAAGATCAATTAAAATATATGTAGTAAAAATTGAATACCAACCTGTACCAATAACTTGATCAACAATATCATTGATATATTCTTTCATTATCAGCTCATACTTGAGATGTTTCATCTGTTGTTCAATTATAAATTTGATAGGCTCACCCAGGCCTGTACGTTTTCCACACATGTTGGACATTTCTTCCCTTGCTTTGTTATGGTAAATTTCTTTTTCTTGAGTAGATAATGACTAAAAAAATGCAATATATAATTTTTATTGCTATTAATAACTCTACAAACTCTACAAACACAAATTTTAGATTATCTTCATTTGCAAAAAAATAAAATTTAAGTTATTGTTTCAATGGTCATAACAAAAAATTTGCAGAAATTGAGAAATTGGAAAAAAATATTGTTACATTTAATGACATTTTACTATTGGTATGATTTACGTTTAGATTACGCAAAAAGGATTTATAGATTAAAAATTTAAAAAAGTGATACTATATTTGATAAATTATATGCCAACAAATAAATAATACATGAATAATTAATAAGATTTAAAATTTTGATAATGGTAATATGATACTAAAAAATAAAATTCTCTTGTGATAAGAATAATAGTACTTATAAATTATTTAAACTTATTGATAAAGAATATTAATACTATGAATAATGATTAAAAAAATTAAAAATTATTACCTTCCACAAATTTTCATATCTGTAATTTCTTTTGACATCTTGCGAATCACAATATTTGGTACCTTTTTGATTTTCTTGTTCCTTAAATTCCATCATAAAATAATAGAAGCCGTTCTTCTTCACTGTTTTTAACATTTTATAAAAAAAAAAATCCGATAGTTTCTTCACAAACTAGAATGTTATTAACACCACTTTTAAAACTGAAAACTTATGACAATATAAGAGTATATTTGATTGTACATAATGACTATTTTTCGATTGAATATTTTAAATCGTTAATCACTTGTAATCTTTCGGTATTATTCGAATTTAAGTTGATGTGAATAAATGATGATTCATGATTTTCTTCATGTTAAATAGATAGACCCGGAAAATTCTATACAAGGATATTTACTAAGAAAATTACATAGGATGTAATTTTGTTTTACAAAATAATAAGTAAAATTTGAATATTATTTTTAAATTTTTATTTTAGTTGAAATTATAGGCAGTACGCAAAGTATGACAGTCAAAGGAAAACATACACAATTACTGATAATGATGATAATGCAGTATTTGCATGTATTGATTTAGATAATAAGATTGTTTATATTCAATAAATCTTATTTTTAAATTATTTAATTCATGATATTTATTTATTTATTTAATTTGAATGCCAAGGCAATGGCCGAATGACAAAAATATAAGAATATAAAATACATGTAAGAGTATAAACATATCTAAATAAATATTATAACAGTATTTAGATTTCGCTAACAGAATAATGAAAACAAACGAAAAAGAAAATTTAAAAAATGTCATCAGTTATTTACAATCAAAAGAAAAAAAAAATATAAAGTGAAATAAACATAAGCAGAAAAATTTTCTGAAATTCCAGTTTTAGCTGAAGAGTAGGCAAGAAGTTTTAAAGTCGTTATCAGACTAGGTTTAGATTTAAATCTAAAGCTAAAGCACTTCAAATTTTAACGATTTGAATCATCATCGGTGAAGCCGGGAATCAAGTTCTCCTTAAGCTCAAGATCATGAAAGAATTGATAAGCTTTTGTCTTGAAAGTGTCTATGATAAGTGCATTGATGACGTCAGGTGGTAATTCTCTCCAGAGGCGTATCGATGAGATCATATTGTATTAAAAATTTAACTTTTTTTTTTTCTTATAAATAATTCATTGTTTTAGATATGATAAGCGGTGAGAAGATGAAGATTGAGGAATATATTGGCTACATGTGAGTGATATTACAGATGCAGAATTTGCCATGAAAGTGGATAATAAAATTAATAAATATTAATGTTAAATTATTTAATAAGAAAAACTTGTAATAAAGCAAATTATATTTATGTAAAAATATGTAATTAACTAGAAAAAAAATAAGTAAAACTTAGTAGTAATTAACAGAAAAGAAAAAGATCAAAACCCCTGTAGATAGACAAAATCTCCAGTAGATGAATAGCTGATACCAATAGATGAACACTCCTTACAAATGATATTTTCAACTTATTGCTTATATCAGAAATAATGAATTATTTCCCTATATCCATAGCATTATATCCGTATTGAGTTCTAAGGCGAAGCCTCGGTAGGGTAGTGATCGCGGTCGTAATTTCGCAGATATAGGATATAGTGGTTTTAATCATTAATGATGATGATGGTGATGAATTTGATTAAATTACAAGTACAATTAAAGTTAAGGCATGCAAAAAATCATTATTTTTTTCATGAACTTTATTTATATATTTTTTTAATCAATTTAATCTAGTTCAACCTAATTATACTCAACAACACACTGGTCATACATTCTTACATTAAAATTAAAATATTTTATAAACATTAAATATACAATTCAGGTTATACTTGTTTACATTATACAATTTTATTTATTCTAATAAATGGATCTGCAAAATAATAATAAACATCTACAGGACATACGTCTACTAAAAACTATTTTAAGCTATTTACAAAGCTCTAAATTCTGCATACATTTCAATTTCATTATCATTATCAACAATATTAATAATAACTTCTGTTATTATTATTATCGAGTGAACTGAAAGTATTGTCGATTGGAAGACTGGAAATGTTAAATAAAATATCTAATGGAATGAAAATTAAGCAGTAACTAATATCTTAACTTAAATTATGAATTTCAGTACAACAAATCTATTTTTTCGTTTCCTTAATTTAAGCTCGTATTGTAATTGACTTTATAAAATTAACCATTTATTAAGTATAAATATAATTTTGAACCCGTAATTAAATTAGTTTTGTAATTGTTGAACTGTTTTGAGTTTATATCCCAAGTCTTAGATTATGGAGGAAATTTTTGTAGTCATCAATATTTTAGGCTCTTTTTGAAAGTCTTCGAGTAATTTCACTTCTACCTGTCACACTAAAATACAGAATGTTACAAATATGGAATATTATTGATAATAAAAAAAAAAATACTAAGTTTCGCTAAAGAAAATGAATATATTTACTCACACAACATCTATTTGATCATCATCACTTCCAATATCATCATCAGTTTTAAAAAGCCGATTTGCTGGTTGGAATTTGTAACCACTCAGCACAAATATTATAAAAGTTGCCATTTCTTTAAACAATTCTTCCAACCATTTGTATCTAAATGGTATGGTAACCTATTTTTTTTTTTTTTTTTATTTGAAATCATTTCTGAGTAAATAAATTTTTTAGAATGATCACATGAAATTACGAGAGAAAATACCTTTAGAAATTTCAAAGAATTGATTTTTTTTTTATTTTCCGAAAATGTAATACCTTGAAAGTATACTGACAAATGGAATAATTAAAATGTTCAATATTTAATTAGTTATTACACATAATTGAAAACGCATGAGCTCTAATTATTTATCGTACTAAATTGTCAAACGGGATTTTCTCAAAAGTGTATTTTTAAAACTTATTTTTACTTAAAAAAAATTGTTTCTCAATTTGGCTGAAATTTTTTAAGGCTTTTCTCTACATCGTTATTGAAAGGATAAACCTAAAATTTTAAAAATTTCGCGGAAATAAACTAATTTTTTGAGATTAACAAACATTGAAAGTAGTTTGAAACTGGAAATTTTTTTTTTAATGAGCTGGATTAATTTTTTTTTATTTTATACTTTTTATCATTTTAAAGGTTTATCTTTTCCATGCGTGGAAATGTCAGAAACAGTAAGCATTTTTATTTTTTTATTTTACATCAATAAGCAAAGAATAACAAATACAGAAAAAAATTTTTCTGAGCCGTTTTGAAAATAGAAAAAAAGTTATCCTTTTGCTTTTCAAAGTTTAAATAAAATTTTGTTCAAACTTCAAAATCATACCATTATATTATCATCTACAACTAAAAAAAATATCAATTTGACTCAAGAAAAAATTCATAATCCAAAAAAATCATTTCCAAGAGTTTCAGTGTCTGTAAACACACAGTAAAAAATTTTGCATCATTGCGTCAAAAAATTTTGTGTTAAAAATTTTTGTGTTACATATTTAACACTTTTATGGGTAAATTTAACATTTATTGTGTTAAATTAACACAGAAAAGCGTTAAATATTTAACACAAAAATTTTTAACACAAAATTTTTTGACACATTGACGCAAAATTTTTTACTGTACAAGACGAAAAATTCTTAAATTATTTAGAATTGACTTAAACTAAGAAAAATTTTTCAGTTTAAGAATTTTTTTACCCAAATCAAGACTTTGAAACTCTTCACAATGATGAGGCGACTGATAATCCGAAGATAATTAATCCGCGATAATAGATTCGCAAATTTTGATCCGATGACAATTTATCCGAGTGACAATTGATGTTAAGCTTATGTGTTGGTCTACTATCGAATAAACACACAAAACCCATGATAAAAGGGCATAACACAGTAACAAGCGTATGTGTTGGTCTTCAGATCCAATGTCATGCGGATTAAACGTCATAAGGATCAATTGTCTTCGGATTATCGGTCGCGTAACCCTTCAAAATGATTGTCTTGGTTCAAGAATCTTTTTTATGTGTACAAAAAACTAAAGAAAAATAACTAATTTTCTTTGAGCTGTCTAAAGGAATTTCCCTCCTTAACTGTATCAAAATAAAAGTAATATTACCTTCAAAAAATATATCACTATCCGAGGAAAATAAATGTTACAAACGATCATGATGTAAAAGTGTCTGAATAAATTAAGCTTCTGGTGATTAACGATAGTTATACCACGAATATTCGCTGACTCTTTTAAATGTTTAATACTCCAAACCACAGGCAATAAAATAACTCCATAACAAAGTGAGTCCACAAGAGTAAATACATCTCGCCATGTTTTGTATTCAACCTCTCCGTCATCGCTTTCTTCTATAATTATTTCTGCCAAGCTCATCAGTACCTAGGGTAAAAATTTAAATGCAGCACGTACTTAGAAACTTATTTATATTGCTTGTTAAAAAAAAAACAATTACTTGAAGATATATGAAAATTCTGAATAGTTTTTCATCTTTTTCAGCGAGAATGCGCTTTATAAAATCCCAATCCGTTCCGATCAGAACGATTGATACAAATAAACATATTACTGATTCGTTTAACAAATGAGATGAGTAATGAATCGCCCAGGTCGCTACGTATTTGTTTTTTGTCTTTACAAAGAGATTGTTGATTCCATGAAACAGTAGAGAGAATGATTTTAGAAATAGCAAAATTGCTATTAAGTAGTGCGCGTTCACTACTCGATACCTAAAAATTTAATAAAATTTATTACTCTTAGCTTTAATCATCAAATTTGTAAATAAATAATTTAATTTATCTTGCCTGCTTTTTTTCAGCACCAAAATCCAGAAGCACCCAGAGAAAAAGAAGACCGAGGCCATCATAAAGTAAAGAGCAGGTAGCGATATATCGCTAGCACTTGAAAAGTTTTTATTACTTTTGTCCATAATAGCTAACTAACGATCAATCATTTTTGCAGTAATTTTGAATGTTGTGAAAATAATAATTATAAAGTCCGTCCTCATCTCCATTCATAATATTCATTTCAAAGTTTTTCGCCCTTAAGCATTACTCTCTGTTAATTGTTTCCACAGTTGCGTTAATCTTGACATTGTAGAACAGTGGTTCATTTTTTTTCTTAACATTAGTTGTAGTATCTACAAACGATTTTTTATTTTTATTATACCTGTTTGAAATAAAATAGGGGACATTAAATTATCCACTTGTTGGCTTTTGACATAAATTTTCACTTTAGTTCCTGCAATTTATCAGCATTAAAGGATTGTAGATGGCCGTAGGAGGCCAAGAAAGCAATATTTTCTCAAAAGACTTTTTCAATTATTATTATTAAAATTTATATACATAATAGCGAATTTTAACTTTATTAATAATTTTGTTTTTTTTAAAGTGGCTACTAAAAAAAATTTTTGATTTTTTATGAAAATTTTAGCTTTGAATTATTTATAAAAGTATCGAATATTTTAAAGTTCTTGGCTGCAGCCACATAAAAGTCTAACACGCTCTGTAATAACTTTACAAATAAAAGCATAACTTTGAAAATATTTCTCTGACTGACATAAAATTTTTTGTTCGTATACTTAAGAGAGAACACCACTGTGACGAACGAAAGAAAGAGGTGATTTTCGGGAATTTTTTCGACAGGGAAAATAAAGCAATTTGGGGATCGGATTTCTTTTATTTTATTAAGGGTACATTGAAGATTATTACCCTAAATTTTTATTAAAAAATATTTAATTATTACAAAATTATTAACAATCTCGTAGAGCACTAGGAAAAATTTCACCCTTCATGGTCGGTTCGATAACTCAAAAACGGATCATCTAAAAATAAAAACCCAAATTGATTTTTAATCAGTAAGGATGTAGTTATCGTCGCACGTACGGAATTTTGAAAATTTTTATTTAAAAAAAAATAGTGACTGATTGAAAATTTTCTATTCTTACTGTTTTTTTTTTTTGTTTTAACCCGGCTAAAAGAATCTTTGCGATGATAAAAGCAATCCTCAAATTGCTTTTTAATCAGTAAGGATGTAGTTATCGTCGCACGTACGGAATTTTGAAAATTTTTATTTAAAAAAAAATAGTGACTGATTGAAAATTTTCTATTCTTACTGTATTTTTTTTTTTTTTGTTTTAACCCGGCTAAAAGAATCTTTGCGATGATAAAAGCAATCTGGGTTTTTATTTTCAGATGATCCGTTTTTGAGTTATCGAACCGACCATAGAGGGGGAAATTTTTTCTAGTGCTTTACGAGATTGTTAATAGCTTTGTTATAATTAAATATTTTTTAATAAAAATTAAGGGTAATAATCTTTAATGTGCCCTTAATAAAATAAAAAAAAATTCGATCCCCAAATTCCTTTATTTTCCCTGTCAAAAAAATTCCCGAAAATCACCTCTTTTTTTCGTTCGTCACAGTGGTGTTTCTCCCTTAAATATGTTTACACTACAAAAATTAAATTAAAAAAAAATTGATTTTTAAAAAATTCCAACAATATATATGTATACAACTTAAATCTTATATATGGCCCAAAATGTTTTTTAAAAATTTCTAATTTCTTAAAATTCAAATTTCAAATCTATTTTCCAAAATAAAAATTTTGAATGTAACGCCACATTACAAAATTAAAACTTTTATAAACTATAGATATAGATAATATTATCAAGCTGAATATATCTTCATAACAATTTCAACAATTTTAATTACTCATAAAAATAACTACCAAGTAATAACTTTAATAATATTGACATATATTATTACCCTACAAGTTCTCTCAACTTTAACCTTGACGTTAAAACTGACGAATATTTACACGGAAGTAAATTCAAAATGTTGTCATATGATCTGTCATCATTCTAAAAATTTGAATACACATAATTAATGAATAAATAAACACGTCAACAAAAATAAATCCATAAAAAGTGAATTCAAAATACTAACCCCTACGTTGAGCTTCAGATATTTTTTAAAAACAACACTGGTATTTATAAACAATCAAGGTGAATTGATCAGTAACAATTAAATGTTTTCCAAATATTTACGTGGATAGTTTTTAAAATTCGATGGATTATTCATTGGTGTAAATTTAATTTAGCATTCATAGGATAGGGCTGTAGACTGAACTTATTTAGGGTGTGTACAAAATGGGAGGGTTTCAATGGCGGGAATATAAATTGCCCTGAACTTTATCTTATATATATATATATATATATATATATATATATATATATATAT